CTAATACTGCTGAAAGTATAAACCAGTCTGTAACGGACTGGCTGTGGTGCCTCGAATGCTCAACATGTTTAACAGGGTCAGCAGTTTTACTGACTCATTGATGAATTGTGTCATCTCACCTAGCTGTAAAGAATATTTAATGATTAGCTAAGGAGATTTTCAAACTGTAGTTGAAATGATCTTGAGGTAAAGAAGGAATGCATAAGTTCTGACAGAATTTCTGTCTTTGGAAAAGAAAAAAACATAGACTACAGAGAATCTAAAGGAAGTCAGGAGAAAGGGCTGACTTCTATATCTGTTGTACTGTGTCCTTTCCGTGATAGAACTAAAATTAACAACTAGGCCTGTTGGTTGCAGGTACAAGGTAATTTAAGGTGGATGTTTTTATTATGAGTTTTAATTCCATAGGGGGTAGAGAAAGAAATGCTTGAGGTAGCAGTGGAAGAGAAGAAATAACATTTTGAATGCTAACTTGAATAAGAACTGTTAAAATGACAGATCTGTGTACCTCCTACAAGAAAATCCCGAAATGTTTTATGAACAGTAATGAACCAAATCCTTGCAAGGTGAGACACTGTGATATCAATGGATAACCTCACTGTGCCTGAATTTGAATCAGTTGTGCGGATCACTCCACGAGTCAGCCACAAAGTCAGGAACATAACTTCGAGTTGAATTTCAGGCTTTATTGAGCCTGATGCCAAAATCTGCTTTTAGAGTCACGATGTCACATTCAGTGTTGTACCTCCCTGCATTTCTTGCCTAGACATCGTTCTCAAGTCGCAAAACTGAATGAGCCAACGAGCATGTTAAAGTAAGTTAGCGAGATGTAATTAATGTGATGTAATGACACCCTGTAATTGTGTCCTCCTTTGTCTGTCTTTGATAAGCAGCAGCCCTTAAACCACCATTTCACAACATAACTTTGTATCTCTTAAATTACAAGGAGATAGCAAGCTACCAAGAGGTACATTGTATTTGGAAATCCACTGTGAATACAGGCAAAGGTCAACAAGTCAATTTTGTGGTTCTCTTCTTTTGCTTTGTTTGATACATTCAGGTTTAAGGAATTCACAAAACAAAAATCCACACAAACGTCAAACCAAGATGTTAAACTGATGTTTTTATAATTTCTGAATATTTCATTTGAATTTATTTTGCAGTTAAATGTTTTCAAAATAACTCACACACTCCTCTTGACTCTTTAAAATAATTCAAGATAACCTTTGCTTCAAAAGATATATAATCTAGACACAGACTTAGATTGAGACCAAGATTATTGATTTTTCTTTCTGGAAGTTTGTAAAAGAGAAAAATGACAACTTACCTCCTAAGGTTGTTTAGCAACATGATGTTCACATACATATAATATAAATAATAGCTGTATGGGGGATTCTTCTCACTGGTCCAGAGGTCAGGGTTAAGGCTCTTGTCAGAGAACATGTGGCCACTATGTTTGGATTCATCATCAACACTGTCAAAGCCAGTCACCTGATGTGAGAGAGATTCACAGAAATCAGTGTTCTCAAGAAGCAAACTTCAATGTTACTTTGGTAAGACTGGTTTTGGCTGGGACAGAGTTAAGTTTTTCTTTTTAGCAGCTAGAAGAGCTCTATGTTTTGGTTTTAGTCTGGGATTTACTACCAGAAGAATGTTGATGGCACACTGCTGTTTATAGTTGGCACTGAGACCTCAAGGACTTTTCAGCTTGACGTGTTTTTGTCAGTGTGCAGGAGCACAACAGGCTGGGGGGGAGCATAGTCGGGACAGGGGGTCCACAACTTCCCTTACGATTTGAACTTAAGCCTTGGTATTAAGGGCTAAATTGGCAAATGAAGTATTCCATATCACACAACGTCATGCTCACTATATAGATGAGGGTTGACCAGAAAGAAGGGGTTTTTGCTCTTCCAGGGGCTCTCACTCTCTTTTCAGGCCTCTCGTTTATCCAGGATTGTGGTATCAGAACTTAACTGTTTTGGGACCATTAGTCCGGGACAGGACAGGTGGTGAGCAATTACACTGTGCATCACTTGTTTGTATATATTATTATCATTATACATATATATACTCATCATTATTATTATTATCATCATCATTATTAAATTGTTCTTATGTCAACCCACAAGTCTGCTTCCCTTTTCCCCTTTAATTCTCTTCCCCAACCCCTGGAGGTAGGGGAGGGTGAGTGAGCGGTTGCGTGGTGTTTAGTTGTCAGCCGGGCTAAACCACATTACTGTTGCTTCAGGACTTGCTTGTACAAAGAAAACATCCAGTCCTCTTTCTTTGTTTCCTTCCTCATGCTAGCAGTGCTGTTGCTCTGCTCTCCTACCATACCATGCAGACAGTGGGAATCATGTTTCCTCGAAGGAATCATCACCTATTTTTTTCTTCTGAGACAAACATGAGGCCCAAGTGCACAAAAGCCTTCAGACTCCTATGGGGGGTGTAAGGCCTGTGAAACTCCCTCAGATCCAAATCATAATCCATTAAACTCATCTGTTTTGTTATTTGAAAAGCAGCTGAAGGCCAGGAGGCTCCCAGGAAACCTCGGAGTTCTGACTTGGGGCATACTAAGAAATGTCTCTCCTAAAAAATCATGTCCCAGCAGCTACATCCCCACCTCTCTCCTGAGCCCCGTCAGGATCTACACAATGCTTCCTTTCAGTTGACTCCCTTTTTGGAGGCCAGTCCCAGAGGCAAACTCAAAATACACATCCTGGATTAGGATGTTCCCTCCGCACAAGAACATGCAAACATTTTTTGGTCATTCTTTATAGAAAGGATTACTGAAAGCACAAATAAATAGCTGTCGAGCTGTTTCATAGGAAATAAATGGCAACTATTTGGCAACAGGACCTTACTCAAGCTTTTGTTAAATTTTATGTCAAGGCTTTAAAATGGTACTACAAGTAATCTGTGGAGGTGAAAGCTTTTTGAGTGTCAGGAAACAGCTGTAGACAAACAAAATTTATCAGTAGGAGAGGATCCATTTCATGTGAGACAGAAAATCCCAACATACTTACATATTTGAGGAAAAGGTGCAATTCTTTGTGGTCTTTGGGATTGATTGTTGCTTCAAATAAAGGTACAAAGATGTTCTCCAACATCTTCCCAAAACTAGGCAGAATATTTTTTGACCTAAATATGTCACTGAAGGGGAAAAAATGTACACAGTTGTGACCATTGTTTAATCAGCTTATATTTTTCCTCCACTTTCATATTTTCTGTTATTTATGCATATTCTACAGCTTCAGTTCTACCAAGATTCAGAAATTCAAAAGTTTTATGTCAGGGCAGGGATTGACTCTGTGCTGTTTCCTGCACTGCCTGGCACTCTGCTTCACTGAGGCTCTGCAGAAGCTCCCGAGTGCTCCAGAAGTACCCAGTATGCAGAGGTAGATGCTGTCTCGAGAACAGCAACCCTTTCCCTTACAGGAAGCCAGGTACTAATAGGGGAGATACGGAATTACCTCTCATGAAAGATTCTGTTTTCCAAAGTTATAACTACTCCAAATGAAAGTAGAATGTTCTGCTTTAGTGAGCCTCTCAGAAAAGAGGGACAGTACTTCAGTGTGTCATTAACTGCATGACGTAATGAAAGTGTTGACTCTACTATGTATGTAAGAAATTGCTACATAAGAAGTTAAAGGAAAGAGACTTTCTCCCTAACAAGACACACACTCTGGGGGATATATGTGACCATGACAGCTCTTTCTCTACTTAAATTCCAACTATGAAATTTCAAAACATGAAGCTCAGCTATTAAGGCTGATGAAATTACCATGGGAGACTGTACTACAATACACAGTATTAGAAACAAAGAACCATTTAAGAAAGTCCCAAAGGATGCTTAAAAATGAAGAGGAACTGGTACTGATTTAAGCTTGCAAATCAGCAATCTGGGTTGCCTTTCCAAGTTCACTTAGTCACCGATCTCGAGCAAGTTTGATGATAACAGTTTTACAGAGCATTTTCTACTCCAATGTGGAATTCAAGAGTTGGTTTATTTTCATTACTAAATTGTATTTTAACTTGCTTTTGAATGTAGCTTAATTTCACCAAGTTGTAACTTTTGGTTTTAGAATCTTCAAATCTACAAATATTTCACAATAGTTTTGAATAGCTTCATAAAGAGTAGATTCAAACTCCATCTCCTGTCCTCCACCCCCAGCCTGTCAGGAAAATTGCAGCAATGGTCAAGAATAAATTTCTCAGGCTGTTGCATATAAACAGAACTACAGGACAGTTCATAAACCACCTAAAAAATATCAGAAATTAGAGCAAATCATTGGTATGATTTCAAACTATTAAAATTACCAAGAGCTCCTGGTTACTTACTAGATTCTGGGAACCTGAATTATCCAGCGCATATTAGGGGAATAAACTTTATGTTTGATGAACCATTTTGCCAAGTTCAGCCATTCATCTGGAGACCGTCCATAAATGGATAAGCGGGGTTCTGTGTACTGGTATTTACTTTCTTCCAGTTCACGGGCTACTTCCTATTAAGTAATAAATATTTTTGCTTTAATATGGACACTGAAGATCATTTACAGCTAGTAGTATGTTTATCATTGTATTTATCTCTGACCAGACATAACTCTGTATTGTCACCCTTAAAAGATAAAGGGAATCTCTCGTCTATTGATCCATTATTTTATTTTAGGCATCTAAATATTCTATTCTCCTCCTTCCCTAGCAGCTACCACTAGCCAACCACATCCTAACAAATTATTAAGCCAGTGAATTGCCCCTTGGCTGCTCCCCATTAGTTTGAAACTGCACACAACTGTGCTTTGAACCACACACAGGTTATGCGTATGAGTTTCTAACTCATAAAATTATTTAGAAAACAGCAGTGGCTGACTTCCCAGAAGTCTTTCTCTGAGGAATTGCTAGATCAAGCCCAATACTTGGCATCACTTAACCAAGTTAAGCTCTAAATACGATTATGACATCACAAATCTTTTACAAACCTTCATTTCTCTACAGCTGGAAAAGCTTGAAACTTATTTACCTTTACCATACGAGCAAAATATTCACCACCAATATAGTTTTCAGTTTTCAAATACAAGTCCCTCAGCTCACTGGCACCAACTGGATTGTACTTGGAATTGAATTTGTCAAATCGATGAAATGTTTGACGACCCTGGAGAAGGAAAAAACCCAAACAACCATGGTTTTAAGTACACACAATAGTTTATGAATTAAATTGCCTAGCAATAAAATACCCAGAAAAGAAAAAGCCTATGCGAACTTATTTCAAACATGCGAAGTAATGCATGAGTTCAGATTCTCATTTCTACAGCAAAAACTGTAGAAACCAGAATTTCACACTTAGAAAACTTAGCTTTTTCTCTTTTATTTTGTCATTTTAATAGACTTACTGCATGGACATCTAAAGAGTCTACAGTGAGGTCATAAGGGTCCATGTGAAGGCTTTCGAAGACTTGCTTTAAAGTCATCTTCTTGCCTTTTTTCTCTGCAACAATCCTGTTGGGCTCCGTTTGATACGTGTGCTTAATAAACCTCAACAAGTGTTTCTGGTTCATGCAAGCAGCAGCGTGGATATGAGTATCAACCTGAAATCCAAACAAGGTTGTTCATGCTCATCATCTATATACATAAATTTAAATTAGCGAAGTATCTATGTCAGTGACAACAACTAAAGCCTTCTAAAATATTCCTTAAGTAACAAATGGATTAGTGCCTAAGCAAGTCAAAATGTTTCAGAACCCTGAGATTGTGGGTTTAGAGGAATTATTCAATAAGCAGGACAATAATCAAAATAGTCTGCAATTAATAGTTTCCTATTAAAATAAGAACATTTTCAAGTGCCAATCACAGAACCTGGGTTCAGATTAAATTTGATACTTCCTTAAAGGACACCCTGATCCTTTAGTATCCTTTTATTTCATCCATGAATCAATGATGTCTTTCTAGTCACAGACTGTAGTTATAACCCTCCTGTCAGACTGAAAGGACCTGAGAATTCTCGGCCATTTGCAAAAGCATGTCATTTTTGTATTTCAACCACCTGAAACATCTTAGGTCGCTAGAACTACAGAATGTAAATGTGAGAGATTTTGTCACTATTTTTTCTAGGTTTAATTATAATACAGCAAGTCATAATGCTGACAGATTTTTCAGTGTCTTCAGATCTCTTCACACACTAAGGGAAGTGCAAGCTTCACAGAAGGGCTGAGAGTACTGCAGTTTTTTATTGAAGTCCCATTTAAAAAAAAAAAACAAACCTGACAAGAACCAAATGGTTTCCACAGGTATGCTTTTCTTTTGCTCAGAAGCTTGCACTGCTATTTGAGCAGGCTATATTAGAACACAATCCAAAAAAACAACCAATGAGATCTGGGGTTGGTTTGTTGATCTAATTTTCCCTTCAGTACGTGCAATTCCTTAGGTGCCTCCAGCAGGTATGTAAAATGAATCCGTTGCAGTTTCTTGCAGTCAAGGGTTTATTATCTTAAGTATACAGATAAAGAATAGAAGAAAACCAGGTATATTCCCCAACTTCCGCTTGTTTGAAAGGCAGGTAATACAAATTGCAGTTCCTAAGAACCAAGTACCTGAACGGGAAGAATAAGCCTTAGCTAGGACAGTGGTCTTCAGGAATCTAAGAGCCCAGCAATATCCTGTGTGTGGAGCAGCGGAGCTGCTGCTCCAGGGTCCATTTGCTTTGAATTTCCTTGAGAAATTCAAACTGAACAACAAAACAGCCTAATGCATGTCCTAGGTAAAACAATGAAATTACTCTACCAACAAATTCCTATCAATTTAAAACCAAACCAAACCACTGTTCTGATTAGATTTCACAGTTGACACCTAATGAGCACAACAGCCCTGGGTGACACCTAATGAGCACAACAGCCCTGGGGACGGCTTGACAGCCTCTGAAATTGCTTTCAAGTCCAGATTGCCGAACCGTAGTAGAAGCAGTTTTGGCTCACCCAGAAGCCACAGTGCTGCAGCCTGGCTGCTAAGCTGCTCATTTTCGTCCAGCCAGGTCCTACCTGGAACAGGGATGGCCATGAGCACAGGGTGCGCTCAGAAGCAATCGCCAGCTTTCACTATTTCTAACATCTGCTTTGTGCACCAACTGCCTGGTACTGGAGACAAGTCTTACAAGACCAACCAGCAGAATAGTTCTGCAGAAGGAGTAGGAAGCAAGACAGTCAGTTGGTAATACAAGTTTCAAGATGATGTATAGCGGGGACAGGATGGTTCAGATAGTAAGTCTAAAAAGCTGCACATTGCACTGTCCTATATGTTGGTAGGAGATGGTTTGAAATCCTTTAAGTAACACTTTATCATGAAGTCTTATGTGAAAGTGTAGTGGAAAGGGCTGCTGTAACTCCTCACACAGAGTACGAAAGGAGCTTCACAGCAGAAATACAAAATAATCTTGCTTCTGCACAACACTGGTAACGTAGCTGTCAGAATGCACCCACTTTTGCTGTCTACAGTTAAAGGTTTAAAAAAAACCCAAATACTGACAACATTCCAAGAAATGTCACAAAAGGAAATAGGAGCTGGAAAAGCCCACACTGCCATGTGACTGTAAAAATAAAACTTATTTGGCTTTTCAAGGTGCAGTTTGAGAGTTGATTTGATCAACTTTACACAGGCATTTATACATCCAAAAAAGACCATGAGGCAGAGAGGGGGCTTTTCAATCTCACAAGCAGTGATGTAAAAAGATCCAAAGGTTGGATGCTGAGATTAGATACAAGTTTCTAAAGATACTTACTATGTTGGAACAGTTTGAACCCACTGCACTGTGCTTTTTAGGATGCAAGTAACAAGCATTCACAGTGACACACTCCCAACAAGAGCTGCATAGCCTGTATGCAGGAAGTCATGCTAAAAGGAATTCTCAGATAAACCAACTACAAGGAGTCACTGAACCTACATCTCTGCAAGGACTCTCATCCAGGACTCTTCTACTGTCCAGGAAACTGCAAACACAGACATGTACAACATGAGACCAGTGCATTCCCCTTTGTGTAGTGACTCTGCAGCTTTCAGATTCCACCAACAGAAGTAGCTGATGTCCTGATCTGCTTTCAAAGATCAGTAGGAAATAGATCACAGGGCACCTGAACGAGTAACAGCCATACTACTGCCACATAAACCTCAGCTTATGCTACGACATACAGTCCTCAGAAACGCCACTGTTTTACTTGGCACATGCAGCCATTTAACTTGTAGTTTATACGTACAAAAGTTGTCGCAATCTTCTAAGGATAAATCTATCTCCACGTGATTGTTAGTAGCTTCACTAAAGACCAGGACATAAACTGAATCCTAAAGATTAACATTTAAGTGTTAATCACTGCCTAGTTCAAATATGCTAGACACTTTAAATGAAAATGCCAGAAACAGTACTGTCTCGAAGTACACAACCTGAAGTACGTTACTAACGTACAGTAAGCAGTGCTATGTCTAAACCAGTAAAAACCAGTAAAAACAGGTTGTAAACATAAAAAATGTATTATTACACTCTCAGAGTGCTTGTGTAGGCATCTGAACCCAAGTGCATCATATATATGCTTACTCAGGCTAATAAGTGTCTTCTGTTTTAGAAACAAATATTGTTTACTACAAACTCTTCCTGGAGCAATGAAATACTACGCACTACTAGGCTTGGTCAACTTACATGGGAGAGTGAAGTTAACAGTTAATAGATGCCTTATAAGCTCTAAACATTCAGGAAAAGCAAGTCAAAAGCATAGAATACCAGGT